TTCTGCCCCCCCCCCATGTAAAAAAAAAAAGCTATTTCACATAGGCTACTAAGTAAATGTAGGAAATTTTAAAACTACAGAATGAATGCAGACCCCAAAGCCATAAAAATATAAAGTAAATAGAGAAAAATCTCCCAACCACTTGAGATTTTAAAGGTATTGTCCTAAATTACTATTTCAGGATTTTTCTTTAATAGAAAATTTTTATTGAAGTATATATACAGAGAAAAAAAATATGTACAAATCATGTGTATTACTTGATAAATTTTCACATCTCTAACCAGAATACAAGTCAAACAACCAAAGAAAAATTGCCTTAGTCTTGCAAAGCCAAAGCCCCTTATACTAAAACCTTTCAGCCATTACCATCCACTTCTCTCCCCCAGTGATAACTATTTTGATTTATAACCTCAGAGATTAGTTTTTCCTATTTTTGAATGTTATATGATTGATTCATACAGAAGGTACTCTTTTTGAATCGGACTTATTTTGCTCAGTACTGTGATTCTAATATTCATTTGTATTGGTATATATACTTTGTTCATTTCTCGAATGATAACATTACATTGTATGAAGACAGCACAATTTGTCCACTCCATTGTGGATGGACAATCAAGTTGCTTTTCATTTGGGGCTTTTGGTGAATACACATGCATGCATTTTTGTTATGGCATATCTAAGGGTGGAATCACTGCTTCCTAGGATATGCTTAAGATCACATTAATTTACGTTCCAACTCCAGTTTATAAGAATATCTGTTTCTCGCTACCCTCATCAATGCTTATTACTATTGTCTCTTCTCTCTAGCCATTCTGATTTAGTGGTATCTCCTTTTGGTTTATTTTGTGTTTCTCTCATGACTAATGAAGTTAAAATCCTTTTATGTTGTTGGCCATTTGAAGACGGTCTTTTGTGAAATGCCTGTTCAGTTGTTCTGCCCTTTTATGTTGTTGAAAACTGTTTACCTTTTTCTTATTTGTAATTTTACTTACTTATATATGGTATCATTCTCAATTTCAAGGAAACCCTTAAATGATTCACTAAATATGATGATTGCTATAGAGTTTTTATTTATTTTTATTTTTTTAATTTTTTTTTTTTTATCCTCACTCGAGGACATTTTTCCATTTTTTGTTCAGGTAGAGTGGGAGGGAGAGAGAGGAACAGAGAGAGAGAGAGAAACATCGATGTGAAAGGAACACATCGAGTGGCTGCCACCCGCACAACCGACCAGGGCCGGGGACAAACTGCAACCGAGGTACACGCCCTTAGCGGGAACCGAACCTGGGTCTCTCAGGACTGCAGGCCGACGCTCTAACCACTGAACCAAACCGGCCAGGGCGAGTTTTTATTTTTTAATATTCTTTATCAAATTACGGAAATTTCCTTCCATGGTTGGTTAAGTGTTTTTAATCATTAATTGGTGCTGAATTTATTTTTTTAAAATTCTGCATCTGTGAAAATAATCATATGACTTTCTTTTTCTGTTAATCTAGGGAATTACATTGATTGTATTTCAAATATTAATCTACCCCTGAATTCCTGGAATAAATCCCATTTGGCTGTGATATATTATCCTTTTTTATATAATTGGATTTAATTTGTTAAATTTTGTTTAGGATTTTTGTGCTTACTTTCATGGAAGAGATCGGCCTATAATTTCCCTTTCTTGTAATGTCCTTGTCAGCTATTGATATCAAGATTACTCATTTAATCAGAGAGATGCAAATTAAAACAATGATGAGGTATCACCTCACACCTGCCAGAATGGCTGCCATCAGCAAATCATCAAACAACAAGTGCTGGTGAGGGTGTGGAGAAAAGGGGACTCTAGTACACTGCTGGTGGGAATGCAGGCTAGTGCAGCCACTATGGAAAACATAATGGTGTTTCCTCAAAAAATTAAAAATTGAATTGCCATTTGACCCAGTGATCCCACTTCTAGGAATATATCCTAAGAAGCCTGAAACACCAATCAGAAAGAATATATGTATCCCTAAGTTCATAGCAGCACTATTTACAATTGCTAAGATCTGGAAACAGCCCAAGTGTCCATCAATAGATGAGTGGGGAAAAAAAGCTGTGGTACATATACACAATGGAGTACTATGCAGCTGTAAGAAAGAAAGATCTCTTATCCTTTGAGACAGCGTGGAGGGACCTGGGGAGTATTATGCTAAAGCGAAATAAGCCAATATTATGCTAAAGTGAAATAAGCCAATCAGAGAAAGACAAATACCACATGATCTCACTTATTTGTGGAATATAATGAACAAGGTGGGCTGATGGACGAAATAGACCCAGAGACATAGAAAGGAGTATGGTTCAGACTAACAAACCTCAGAGTAGGGGGGCGGGGGGATGGATGAGATGCCAAAGAACTTATATGCATGTATGCATAACTAGTGGACATAGACAACAATGCTAAGGGAGTGGGGGGGATGAGAAGGAGGGGGCCTGGGGGGGGGGGTGGAAGGAAAAACATCTTGTAACAAAAATAAATTTTAAAACGTGAATAAAAAACAAGATTACTCATTTAATAACTTTTGAGTGAAAATGGTAGAAACATTTTATTGAATTTTTAGAAAATAATGCCAGAATGCTACATTTCAAAAATTCATTGGAAAACAACTGTTTCTGACTAAGATGACATGGCTTATTTCAGACCAACCCTACCATCAAGAACAAAACCAGCCCGGCCGGTGTGGCTCAGTGGTTGAGTGTCGACCCATGCACCAAGAGGTCACTGGTTTGATTCCCAGTCAGGGCACATGCCCAGGTTGTGGGCCTGATCCCCAGTGGGGGGCATGCAGGAGGCGGCCAATCGATGTTCTCTCTCATCGATGTTTCTCTCTCTCTCTCTCTCTCTAAAAATCAATAAAGAAAATTTTTTTTTTTCTTTTTATCCTCACCCGAGGACATTTTTTCTATTTTTTGTTCAGATAGATTTTGGGAGGGAGAGAGAGAGAGAGAGAAACATCGACGTGAAAGGGACACGTCGAGTGGTTGCCACCCACACGACCCAACCAGGGCCGGGGACAAACTGCAACCGAGGTACGTGCCCTTAGCGGGAACCGAACCCGGGTCTCTCAGGACCGCTGGCCAACGCTCTAACCGCTGAGCCAAACCAGCCAGGGCAAGAAAAAAAATTTTTTAAAAAAAGAACAAAACCATATAAGCTGCTATGAAAAAATATATATGTATATATATAATACACAATAATGTTATTTAACATATACTACATATAAATATATACACTATATATAATACATATATTTACATAAAATTAAAGTTATGATTGTTATAATGAGCTCAGTAGATAATAGTATCTGAATAATAGTATAAGCATACTAAAAATGGAATCAGTGGGCTAAAGGATCAAGCTGAGGGAGTCCTTCAGCATATAGTACAAAGCACCATGAGATGAAAAGAGTATAGTCAGATCCGGTGGTGTGGCTTAGTGCTTGAGGGTCAACCCATGCACCAAGAGGTTGCCAGTTCGATTCCAGGTCAGGGCACATGTGCAGGTTGTGGACCTGATCCCCAGAAAGTAGCCGGTTGATGTTCTCATCGATATTTCTCTCTCTCCCCCTCTCACTTTCTTTCTGAAATCAATTAAGGAAAAAATTTTTTTCTTAAAAAAAAGAGTATAGTAAGAATTTCTATTATCTATCTGATAGGAATTCTAGAAAGAAGAAATGTAAAAGAGATAAAAAATATATATTCCTTAGATGAAGAATGATTGTATCTTTAGATCACGGGTCAGCAAAATTTTACTGTAAAAGGCCTGATGGTAAATATTTTAGGCTTTATAGACCTTACAGTGTTTGTCACAACTACTGAACTCTGCTATTGTAGCATAAAAGCAGCCATATACGGTAAATAAATGAATAATTATGTTCCACTAAATATTATTACAGGAATAGGAGGCAGTCTGGATTTGCCCCAGGGCTATGGTTGTTGTCCCCTACGTTAGGTTGAAAAGGCCCACTGAATGCCCCGTCAACCTTTTTCTGACTGTCTGCTGCATTTACCTATTCTGAATGTTTCATATACGTGGAATCATATGATATGAAACCTTCATTTTCTGGCTTGTTTCACTTAGCATGTTTTTGAAGTTCATGCACATTATAGTGTGTATCAGCACTCATTTCTTTTTTTTTCTTTTTTATTCCTCACCCGAGGATATTTTTCTCTTTATTATCAAATAGAGTGGGAGAGAGAGAGACAGAGAGAAACATCGATGTGATAGAGCCACATCGACTGGTTGCCTCCTGCATAACCCGACCAGGACCGGGGACAAACTGCAGCCGAGGTATGTGCCCTTGATCAGAATCGAACCCGCAACTCCTTGGTCCGCAAGTCGACGCTCTAACTGCTGAGCCAAACCATCCAGGGAAGCACTCATTTCTTTTTGTGGCTGAATATTCCATTGCATGGATATACCACCTTTTGTTTATCCATTCATCTGTTGGTGGACATTTAGATTGTTTCCATCTTTTTGCTGTTGTGAGTAGTGCTACTATGAGCATTTATCTATAAGCATTTAAGTATCTGTTTCTAGTTCTTTGGGTAGATACCTGGAAGTGGAATTGCTGGTCTATATGACAATTGTATGTGTAACTTTTTGAGGAACTGCCAGTTTTTACACAGTGACTGCACCATTTTACATTCCCACCAGCGATATATGTGTTCCAATTTCTGCGCATCTTTTCTATCCCTTGTTTTCATTTTTTATGTTATAGCTGTCATAGTAAGAAACAGGAGTTTCTTATACCTCTGTGACTTCTCATTTAATTTCACAGACATTGTGAAAGGTATCCACAGAGTAAAAATACTAATACAAAAGTCTTAACGTTAGGTACTCAGAACTATTAGCAAGTTCATTCAAAATTTATGTAAGCATTTGAATATGAGTTGGTGGCTTGGATGATGATTATCATCCTAGGTTATATACATACTCATACATGTCTATATTTATTTTTTATTCTTTCTTCTAGTTACCTGAGAAGAAAAGGAATAATAATAAATGAAACTTCTGTAGTTGTATATGCTCAATTACTCACAGGTCATAAATATCAAATAAATCAAAATGGTGAGGTTCGTCTAGAGAAACAATGGTCAAAACAAGTTCTTCCTTTTGTTTATCAAACTATTGTAAAGGTAAGTCTCCATCAGGTCTCAATTCTATCTTAGTGTACACTGTTGCACACTGTATAAAGAAAAGACTATCATATTGACATTGATTTATAAATAGAAGAATATTGTAGCAATGTATAATGGAAACTATTATTTAATATAATTTGCAAAATGTTGTTTTTAAAAGAGGTATTATATACTCAGGCACTCTGTGGTTAGGAACATGTCCTTTTAATTTTATTTTTTAATTTTTAATCTTCACTTGAGGACATGCTTAGGGAGAGAGAGAAATATCGATGTGAGAGAGAAACATCAATTGGTTGACTTCTGTTCCCTCCCCAGTTGGGGATCAAACCCGCAAAGCAGGTAAGTGCCCTAACCAGGAATCAAACTGGCAACCTTTCTGTCCTGGACAATTGCTCTAACCACTGAGCAAAACCAGCTAGCACCAGACTAATTTATCTTTTAACTTAATCTTTTTTTTTTATCCTCACCTGAGGACATTTTTCCATTTTTGTTCAGATAGAGTGGGGGGGGGGGGGAGGAGAGAGAGAGAGAAAGAAGCATCGATGTGAAAGGGACACATTGAGTAGCTGCCATCAGCACGACCCAACCAGGGCCGGAGACAAACTGCAAGCGAGGTACCTGCCCTTAGCGGAAACTGAACCTGGGTCTCTCTGGACTGCAGGCCAACGCTCCAACTGCTGAGCCAAACTGGCCAGGGCTTAACTTAATCTTTAAAACAAAAATCCCAGTATTAATTTATACCCTTGCATTTTTAGGTTTTTATTCTTAAAAAAAGGGGGTGGGGGAGATTTGCCTTAAATAAATTAGTAAATGCAAAAGGCTTTTGTGTTTGTAATCTTAGATGTGGTGGTGGGACAAATGTTTTAAAGCGTGTAGTGATCCTGTAATTTGGAGGAAACAGTATAATGTCGTGATTGAGAGCACAGATGTCTAAGTTGATTTCTTAGCTATATAACCTTGGGCAAGATTTACACCCTTTCTGTGCGATAGTTTCCTCATCCGTAAAGTAGGACTAACAAAGGTCACTGCCACAGAGGATTTGTCTTAAGGATTAGAGTATCTAGCATATGAGTAGTCAATGAATTTTAGCTACTAGTATTGTTATGTAGATAGTCTTTACATTTGACATTTATAGATAGTATAGCCATAATCCCATAGGGAAAAAAAACTGTGTGCAATATATAGGTTTTGGCTGTGATGATTTACTTTTATATTTTATTCTATATAGGACATCCGAGCTTTTGATTCCCGTTTCTCCAATATCAAAACATTGGATGACTTGTTTCCTCCTAGAAGTATGGTGTTTATGCTGGGAACCCCTTATTATGGCTGTACTGGAGAAGTTAGTTTCTGTTACTGTTACCAAATAAGTTTCTTTCTGGTTTGAAATTAATACAATTCTTTACCTTCTCTTCATTTAGGGTAATACTGAAGGGGGAAAACAGGAAAGATTTCATTCATCTAACTAATGAACATAGCATTTGGCTATATATCTTTAGTCTTGAGTAGACTGGGTTCAGGAGATGGGGAGAAAAAGAGAATTCAAATCCTGCTCTTTTTAGTAGTGTATTGTGGTGGTATATATGAATCAGTTCTATAGTTATTAATGGGTTGGTGAATTTGTAAATGTGTTGATGTTTTGGGGCAGTTTCATTCTCACATGGAAAAGGGTACCTGCAAATACACATATATGCCTGTGTGCACACATAGTTTCTGGCCCTATTTGTGTAAGAGGATAAGAAGCAAAGATACTCTGGTAGCAGTGAACACATATAATGCCCAAATTGTCACCTCTGATACCATACCCCACTAAAAAGAACTGGGCTTCTCAGAGAAATGTCTGGTTACAGGGCTGGAACAAGGTGGGTACAAGATGAACTTGGCACTTCTTGTTATTAAATTTTTTTTTTTTATCCTTACCCGAGGACATTTTTCCATTTTTCTTCAGGTAGAGTAGGATGGGGAGAGAGGAAGAGAAAGAGAGAGAAACATCGACATGAAAGGGACACATCGAGTGGCTGCCTCCCACACAACCCCAACCAGGGCCGGGGACAGACTGCAACTGAGGTACGTGCCCTTAGTGGGAACCGAACCTGGGTCTCTCTGGACCGCAGGCCGACGCTCTAACCGCTGAGCCAAACCAGCCAGAGCTGGAACCTCTTGTTACATCAGAAAGTAAGGATGTGCTTAAAATAATCATGGGAGGATCTCACATATTCACAGGAACCAGCTGGAAGGGGCTAATTTGGGACAGTTGAGTATAAAACAAATAAATACAGTAATGAATTATAAACCATTGGGGAAGATAGAAATTTATGATTTCATAGTGGTAATAAATAAGTAAATAGTGCAGGGAAGGGCACTTGCTTAGAGCAAGGGTAAATGTGGGGAGAGTGCTAGAGTTAGAAACCATCAGTTTACAACCATGAGGCTAAAGATTGAATTAGGCAAGTCATCATTGGCAGCTAAATCTAGAGAGGATTTTTTATTAGGACCAGAATATTTTCATGGTCTTGAAAGTGTTTTTTCATAAACTTTTTTTTAGTTTCAAGGGCAACAAATAACTATAATTGTACAGTGAAGAAATTGAGCAACATTTTGATGGTATGAACAAAGTTAATACTATGATGAGGGACAGATGAGCATTATCTACCTTCAGGTGTGATATTCTAAAGCATACATCACCTAAGCACTATTCTGGTTCAGAATATATAACCTTAACCTAATCACAAGGAAGCATCAGATAAGTCCAAAATAAGTAGTAACCTTTTTTGTTTTTTTTTAAGGGCAGGGTGGAGAGGGAGGAATGAACTGTATTGTTCAAGATGTCAATGTTATGAAAGGCAAAGAAAAAGTTTGAATATATTCTAGATGAAAGAAAGCTAAATAGGTGATAACAACTAAATGCAATATCTGATCATAGCCTGGATCATAGCCTGGACAGAGTTTTCTACAAGGGACATTCTTAGATCAGCTGACAAAATGGACAGTAGTTTAGATAGAAGTTTATTATCAATATAAATTTTGCACTTAATAACTGTACTGTGATTATATAATAAAATATCCTTAGGAAATAGACAATGAATTATTTAGGAGTGAGGGACATTATATATGTAGTATACCCTCAAAAAGTTCAGAAAAATAATTATGTATATTTAAATACACATATAGAGCACAAATGTTAAAACAAATGGAGTAAAATGTTAACATTAGGTTGATCTGGGTAAATGTTTTTCAAGTATTCTTTGATCTGTTTTTAGTTTTGTAACTTTTTGGTAGTTTGAAATTATTTGAAAATTAGAAGTTAATTTTAAAAAGGAAAAGAAATGACTGGTTAACAGCTATTAAAGCAAAGTACAGTGCCTCAAATTTGCAATATAATCACACTCACAAATGCCAAGAGAATTTCCACTATCCAACTTTATTGTCTTACTGTAGTTCAGAAATAAACTATTTAAATAAGTAGAAAAATTAACTAAATAAAATGTAGTGAAAGACACTAAAACTTACTGTGATTTATTTTTCTCCAAGGTTCAGGATTCAGGGGACGTGATCACAGAAGGTAGGATTCGTGTGGTGTTCAGCATTCCATGTGAACCCAATCTTGATGCTTTAATACAGAACCAGCATGTGAGTACTATAGTCCATATTGTTTCATTTAGAATTGATGAACTTTAAAAATATTAGAAGGATGTTTTTGTAAATTCTTTGAATTTATTGCAAATATTTTATTTAATACTGATGAAATTCTCTCACAGTTATATCTAGTATTATTTAAAAATAAGAGTAGAATCTGCTCAGAACTTCACATAGTCCTTTTGGGGGTGGGTGTTGGGAAACACTAAAATCTCATTAATCTGTAATGATTATTATGGATTGTATTCAAGCTTGTAAACAGCACATTGATTAGCATGCCCTCTGGGAATAGACTTGGGTTTTTTTAATGTTTTATAATTAATCAAAGCCTGCATTTTTTATTTACAAGCGACAAAATGGCCTTCCTGCACAAATTAAATGTCTCTACTAAGTTAAAGATGAACAGTTCCTAGAGAAAATTTGGAAATTCTGTTTAAGGTCACAGCACCCTTTTTTTTCCATGTTTTTATTGATTTTTTTAGAGAGGAAGCTGGTGAGAGAGAGAAACATCAATTGGCTGCCTCCTGCACGCCCCCTACTGGGGATCAAGCCCGCAACGTCCGGCAGGTGCCCTGACCAGGAATTGAACCAGGCAGGACTTCTCGACGCTCAATCCACTGAGCCACACTGACCGGGCATGCAGCATCCTTTTTTAGGACCCTTTTCTCCATATATATCCATTGGCCTCCTTTTATTTTTCTTCATTAAAATAGGGAGAGGATCCTGATATCTTTCATTTTTCTTATTGATTAGGTAATTAACTTGACTAAAATTAATTCACAGACAGCTATTGCTACTTTTATTTTCTCTAATGGTAGAATCTAAAGCTGTGGAATGGACCTAAGATATTAGGCATCAGCATACCCATGAAAAAACTTTAAGGAAGGCAGAAAAGTTCCTAAAATCTTACCACCAGGCTTTGTTTGCAGGAAGAATCCAGAAAGCACAGGCAGAAAACCAGGAGACTAACGCACTAAATATGGAAGTTGTAGCTCTGTTCTGAGAGTCGATGGAGATAGAAAAACTTGTATTCATTCCTTCATGCCTAGCTTTTTCTAGACCTGAAGGAGCCGTCCCACTTATAGTGTACCTTGTTCCTAAGTATACTTATTTCTCTTATATGCCTTCTTTAATTTCTACTCAAGCCTTCTTTCTCTTTCCTAATGCTCTCTGCTATTTATTTACATTTTCTTGGATGTCTGTGAGATTTTAATTATGCTGTGACCCAGTATTTCTCCAAAGGAATACTATTGGTATTTTGGGCAGGACAATTACATTCTTTATCTGATAGGACAGTTGACATCCTTGGCCCCTGAACACTGAGTGCTAGTAGCTTGTACCAATTATCGGTAACCTAATGTGCCCCTACTCATTTCCAAGTGCTTTTTGGAAAAGTGGTACTACCTGTGGTCGAGAGCTGCTACCTTAGTTTTTACTATCTGTTCTGGAAAGCATACTTGATTTGTATTATTTCTAAATCTGATAAGGTTCTTGATGGGAAAACTGTCATATTCTTTACTATACTATTAATGCATTTTAATAGTAACTTTATATTCCAGGCTATTAAAAATGTTTATCCATTTAGTAGTGATTGTAAACATAGGCATTAAAAAAATAATGGTGGCTGAATTAATTCCTTACCAGTCTCTGGAAATTTTGTATTTATTGGTGATAAAATGTCTTTATATTTATATAAAAAATAAAATATGAGTATAAAATATTTATATAATTCATATAAATATAGTACATTTATTATATTTATGTATTTATTAATATGAATATAGTATATAAAATCTACATAAAATAAGTGTGTGTTATCTTCTGTACATTAGGTTGGAAGTATGTGGTAACTTATGCTAGTTGGTACTGGATTTGTAATTTGTTACTGGTTAAAAATTATATGATCTAATACTTTTTAAAAAATTGTTTTTACTTAACAATCTCTATAGTTTCTTCCCTTAAGTAAACAAATTAAGATTACATTTCACTGACTATTAATTACGAGCTTATACGTACTTGTTACTTTCCTGTAATAGTAAATATATTTGGGGAAACAAGTATCATTTATATCCATATTTGAAGTATACTTTTAATTTTGCTCAGTAGCAGCTATTTTGATGACATACTCGTGTTTTAATTTATTATAATAATTATCAAGGCCTGATTTTTATCCCAGGTATGAACTTCTCTAAGCCCTACTTGGAATACAAAAATTAATTTTTTAAACAAATAATTCTTGCCTGCAGTGTTTGCCATTTATTACTTACAGTAGAGTTTATTTCTTTAGACAGTTCCACAGACTGTATATTTCCTCTTCTTTTCACCTGTCCTTGGGAATTCTATCCTTTAAGGAGAGGAAGGAGCAGAAAGATTCTGCCTGCAGATTCTTTAAAAAAAAGGGAAGTGATTGCTTACTTTGGAGAATTCTTATAAGGTCACAATCCAATAGTTATGTCTTGGTTACTTCCAAATTTAAACATAAGGAAATAGCGTTTAATGCTTTGTGTTTCTATAATTGACCTTTTTGTTTTTATATTTAAAGAAATATTCTATAAAGTACAACCCAGGATATGTGTTGGCCAGTCGCCTTGGAGTGAGTGGATACCTTGTTTCAAGGTTTACAGGAAGTATTTTTATTGGAAGAGGATCTAGGAGAAAGTAAGTTTATATTAAAAGAAATTTACTTAAAGTGGCAGAAAAAAAAATTGAATGATAAAGATAAAATGGTTAATATTTCAGTATACATTTTCTCTTTTTAATTGCTCTGACATTTCCTTAAAAATTATGCATAAATTCCTCTGATGGTGATATTTTATCTAAATGGCACACATTATAGGTGGTTGAAAAGAGAGTTATTCTTTTTAGCAGCTAACAAATTGAACCTTGAAAAAAGGTATCAAAGTGTGTGTGAATCTCAGTAATATATTTCCCTGCATTTTTTTATTTCATTCTCTCTAATGACTTAATTTATGTTAATTGTTATGCTTTCTTAACTTGGATTTTGAAGACTTTCCTCTATTTTTTTCAATTACTGCTACCTCGGAAATAACCATAATAACTAAAATATAGAAGAGCAAACAAAACTAACTTTTTCTAAGAATTGAAAGTAAAACTTTTTGTTCTTTGAACAAAATTTAAAAACTTTTGTGTGTGTATGTGTGTGTGTGGTTTAAATTCAGCCCTCATGGAGACCATAAAGCAAATGTGGGTTTGAATCTCAAGTTCAACAAAAAAAATGAGGAGGTACCAGGATATACTAAGAAAGTTGGAAATGAGTGGATGTATTCATCTGCTGCAGAACAACTTCTTGCAGAGTACATAGAGAGGTAAGTGCCAAATAAGATCCTACTAGGTATCCAGAAATATAGGAATATAATAATAATTTTGCCTTGCTGATAATCAGTTTTAGAGGGAAAATGCTTTTTAAGGAAAATTTAACATGTGTTACATATAAACTTTTTTTTTGGCATTGGGAGAGATGCATTTATTTTAATTTTTTTTTAATTTTTAGTTACAGTTGACATACAATATTAAATTAGTTGCAGGTGTATGGCACAGTGATTAGAGATTTATATAAGTTACAAAGTAATCATCCCAAAAAGTCTAATACCCATTTGACAGTGTACATAGTTGTTCTATGATGTATTTTTCACCCTTGAGACTATTTTTATAATTGCCAATTCGTTCTTCTTAATACCTTGTCCTTTTCCACCCATACCCACAACATCCCTTTCATCTAGCAACCATCAAAATGTTCTCTGTAGATGTTAGTTTGTTTCTGTTTTGTTTGTTCATTTATTTTGTTTTAGAGTCTGCATATAAGAGAAATCATGTGATATTTGTCTTTCTCTTTGTGACATATTTCACTTAGCATGATATATTTTACTTAGCATGATACCTTCTAGGTTCATCCATACTCTTGCAAATGGTAAGATTTCATTATTTTTATGGCTGAATAATATTCCACAGTATATATATACCACATCTTCTGTATCCATTTATCTATTGATGGACACTTAGGTTGCTTTCATATCCTGGCTATTGTAAATAATGCTGCATTGAGTAGAAGTGCATGTGTCTTTTTGAATTCGTGTTTTGTATTTCTTCGAATAAATACCCAGAAATGGGATTGCTGAATCATATAATAGTAGTTCTACTTTTCATTTTCTGAGGGACTCTACACTGTATTCCAAAGTGGCTGCTCCAATTTACAATCACACCAACAGTTTATAAACATTCTCTTCACATCCTTGCTAACAATTGTTGTTTGTTGATTTATTGATGATAGCCATTCTGACAGGAGTGTGGTGACATCTCATTGTGTTTGTTTTGTTTTGTTTCATTTTGTTTTTGTTAATCTTCACCCAAGGATAGTTTTTCCATTGATTTTTAGAGAGAGTGGAAGGGAGGGAGGGAGAGCGAGAAACCTCAAAGTGAGAAAAACACATCAATTGGTTTCCTCCCATACATGCTCTTGACCAGGAATCAAGCCCATGACTCTTCCGTGTGGGCCAGCACTCTAACCACTGAGCAACACTGGCTAGGGTTCATTGTGCTTTTAATTTGCATTTCCCTGATGATTAGCGATGTTGAACATCTTTTTATATGTCTATTGGCCGTTAGTATGTCCTCATTGGAGAATGAGGTCTTCTATATAATTTCTAATTGGATTTTTGTGTGTGTGTTGTTAAATTGTGTGAGTTCTTTATAAATTTTGATTATTAACCCCTTATTGGATGTATCATTGGCAGATATCTTCCTCCATCAATAACTTGTCTTTTCATTTTGTTGATGATTTTTTTTTCCTTTGTGCAAAAACTTCTTAGTCTGATGTAGTCTCATATGTACATTTTTTCTTTTGTTTCCTTAAGGAGACATGCTCAAAAAGATATTAACTAAGATTGATGTCAAAGAGTTTATTGCCTATGTCTTCTAGGAGTTTTATGGTTTTGAGTTTTATATTTAAATCTTTAATCCATTTTGAGTTTATTATCGTATGTGGTATAAAAAGGCATAGTTTGGGGTTTTTTTTAACATGTATCTGTCCAGTGTTGTCAGCACCATTTATTGAAGAGGTTGACTTTATCCCATTGTATATTCTTGTCTCTTTGTCATACATTAATTGAACATATAGGTGTGGTTTTATCTGGGCTGCATTCTGTTCCATTGATCTATGTGTCTGTTTTTATGCCAGTACCATGCTGTCTTGATGACTATAGCTTTGTAGTATAGTTTGACATCAGGTAGCATGATACTTCCAACTTTGTTCTTCTTTCTCAAGATTGCTTTGGCTATTCAGGTTTTCCTTCTGCTTTCTTTGGTTTTATATAAATTTTAGGATAATTTGTTGTAATTCTGTGAAAAATGCCATTGGTATTTTGATAGGAATTGCATTGAAATTATAGATTGCTTTGGGTTGTATGGACATTTTAATGATGTTAATTCTTCTATCCATGAGCACGGTATATGCTTCCATTTATTTGTATCTTCTTTAGTTTCTTTCTTCAGTGTCTTACAGTTTTCAAGTATAGATCTTTTACCTCCTTGGTTAAATTTATTCCTAGGTATTTTATTTTTTGATGCAATTGTAAATAGGATTGTTTTCTTAATTTGTTTTTCTGATAGTTCATTATTGTAGTAAAATTGCAACAGATTTCTGAGTATAAATTTTATATCCTGCTACTCTGCTAAATTTATTTATCTGTCCTAATACTTTTTTGGTAGATTCTTTAAGATTCTGTAATAGAGAATTATATCATCTGCAAATAATGACAATTTTACTTTTTCTTTTCCAATTGGGATGTCTATTACTTCTTTTCCTTGTCTGGTTGCTGTGGCTGGGACTTCCAATACGATATTGAATAGAAATGGTGAAAGTGGACCATCTTTTCTTCTTCCTAAGCATAAGAAAAATTGTTTTACTTCTTCCTCATTGAGTATGATGTTACCTGTGAGTTTGTCATATATGCCTTAATTATGTTGAAGTATATTTTCTCTATTCCCACTTTGCTGAGAGTTTTATCATAAGTGGATGATGGATTTTGTCAAATCCTTTTCTACATCTATTGATATGATCATATTATTTTTACCCTTCATTTTGTTTATGTGATGTATCACATTGATTTGTGGATGTTGAACCATCCTTGCATTCCAGAAATAAATTCCACGTGATCATGGTGTACGATTTTTTAAAATATATTGTTGAATTTGGTTTGGTAATATTTTGTTGAGACTTTGTATCTATGTTCGTCAGGGATATTTTGTGTTTCCAGTGTCTTTTTGTGTGGTTTGGAAAACAGGGAAATGCTGGTCTTATATAGTGAGCTTGGGAGGCTTCTTACCTCTTCAATTTTGAGTAGTTTAAGTAGGATAGGTGTTAAATTTTTTTTTGAATATTTTGTAAAATTTAACTGTGAAGCTATCTAGTTCAGGACTTTTGTTTGTTGGAAGTTTCTTGGCTACTGATTTGATTTCATTTGTCATAATCAGTCTGTTTAGATTTTCTGGTTCTTCTTGCTTCAGTCTTAGAAGATTGTATGTTTCTAGGAATTTATCTGTTTCTTCCAGTTTGTTCATTTTGTTGGCATATAATTGTTTATAGTATTTTCTTAACAATCTTTTGTATTTTTGGGGGGTCAGTTGTTACTTCTCTTGTATTTTTGATTTTATTATTTTGGGTCCTTTTTTTTTTTTTCCATGACTCTGGTGAAAGTTTATCAATCTTGTTTATCTTTTCAAAGAACCCAGCTGTTGGTTTCATTGATTTTTTGTATTGTGTTTTTAGATACAAGTTTGTTTATTTCCATTCTGATCTTGATCATTTATTTCCTTCTGTTCTCTTCGGACATTGTTGTTGTTTTTTCCCTAGTTGCTTTAGGTGTAAGGTTAGATTGTTTGTTTGAGGTTTTTTTTTTTTTTTTTCTTAAGATAGACCTGTATTGCTGAATTTCCCTTTTAAAACTGCTTTGGCTGTGACCTTTGGTTTTTGGTTTTTGGTTTTTGGCTTGCTGTATTTTCATTATCATTTCTCTCATCATACTTTTTGATGTCTTTCTTGATTTCATTGTTAACCCAGTGATTGTTTTGTAGCATGTTATTTAGCCTCTGTATATTTGTTCATTTTTCAGTTTTTTCTTCTTATAATTGGCTTCTAGTTTTATGCCACTGTGATTCAAGAAGCTGCTTGGTATGGTTTCAGTCTTCTTAAACTAATTGAGACTTGTTTTAGCCTAACATGTGATCTATCCTAGAAAATGTTCCATATGTGATTGAAAAGAATGTATATTCTGCTGCTTTGGGGTGAAATGTTCTAAAAATATCAATTAAATCCATCTGATCTAATGTGTCATTTAAAGTTGCTGTCTCATTGTTGGTTTTCTTTCTGAATGATTTATCCATTGATGTCACTGGAGTATTTTAGTCCCTTATGTGGACTGTATTATTGTTTATCTCTTCCTTTATGTCTCAATATATGCTTTATATTGTTAGGTGCTACTATGTTGGTTATGGAAATGTTACAGGGGTTATATTTCTGTATTGATCCCTTTATCATTATGAAATGTCTTTCCTTGTTTCTTCTTGTGTACAGCCTTTGTTTTAAAGTTTGTTCAGTATAAGTATTGCTACCCCAGCTTTTTTTTTTTTTTTTTCCATTTGCATGAAATATCTTTCCCTATCTTTTTACTTCAGTCTTTGTGTGTCTTTCAATTTGAAGTGGGTCTCTTGTAGCCAGCCTATATATGGGTCTTTTCTTATTCATTCACTCTTTGTCTTTTGATTGGAGCATTTAATCCATCTACATTTAAAGTGATTATTGAAAGATTCTCTCTTTGTCTTTAACCTTTGGTGTTTTAATTATAATATATGTTGGTGTTGGCCTCTTTGAGTTTATTTTTGGGGGACTTGTCTGTACTTCCTGGGCTTTCTGTTTACCAAGTCAAGAAAGTTTTCCATCATTATTTCTTAAAATATATTTTTATCCCCTTGTTCTCAATCTTCTGGTTGCCATATGGTATGAATGTTGCTATGCTTTACATTGTCCCTGTGGTCCCTTAAACTGTCCTCGTGTTTGATTTTTTAATAATTTTTCCTATTTGCTTTTCTGATTGTGTGCTTTCTGAAACCTTGTTTTTCAAATTGCTGATTTGATCCCCTGCTTCATCTAATCTCCAGTTGATTCCATCTAATTTATGCTCACTTGAATTATTGTAGTCTTCATTTCTGACTGGTTCTTTTTTGTTTCCTATCTCTTTGTTAAAGTTCTCACTGAGTTCATCTAACCTCCTAAGTTCATTGAGCATCCTTATAACCAGTGTTTTGAAATCTGCACCTGGTATGTCTTTTTCTGGAGTTTTGTCTGGTTTCTCTCATTTGGGCCATGTTTCTTTGTCTTCTGATTTTGGCTGCTTCCCTGTGTTTGTTTCTATGTATTAGATAGATCTTTGTCTCCAGTTTTGGTACAGTGGCCTTATATAGTAGGTGTCTTGTGGGTCCCAATGGGGCAGTCTCCCTTGTCAAATTTGCTGGGTGTTCCAGGGGTGTTTTCTTGCATGGGCTGTTTGTGCCATTCTGTTGTAGTTGAGCTGTGGTTGTTGAAATGTCAGTGGGTGGGATTGACCTTCAGACCGTCTGGCTGTGAGGAATGGCTGTGACTACAGCTGACTAGCTGCTGTGTAGGGATTGACTCCAGGGACCAGGATTTGCTGTAGGGGTGCTCTGGTGGCAGCCTAATTCTCTCTTTGAATGTGTCATTTGTGGAGTTGATTACATGATGATCTAAAGCCAGCTAGCGGTTTTGTTGGTTTTGGGGCCTCTTCAGAAGTGCTCCAGTGCTGGCCAAGGCCAGCCAATTTTGTGTAACTGAAGCCGAAAGAGGTTCTGGCCTGTTGCAAGTTGGGTGGGCTGGGTCTCAGGGAATCATCATGACAGGGGCCAACTGCATTACTCAAGTTACTGGTTATTCACATTTGGTGTCGGCCTGCTTCTGCACCTGCCACCTGGGTGGGGATGCAGCTCAACAAAGGAACAATAGCTCCTGTGAGCACTTCAGCCTGCACCTTTGGCCTGAGTGGGAGAGGGCTCAGCAAAGGTGCATTAAGCCAGCAGTTGGGTCTGGGAGTGAGCTGCGCCTTCAGTCCTCACCCTGAAACCAGACAATTCAGTCCTTCTATATGTCCCTGGCATCCTTTGAGCTGCTGCCCCAGTGCTGGAGCTCAAAGCAAATGAGTCCATCAGCCAGTACGTCTGTGTGCAGGCCCTTTAAGGGGAGTGCCTGGGACCCGAGAAACCCTCCATTACACTCAGCCACTGTCTCCAGTGATTTTCACAGTCCATCTTATCAGGACTTGTCTTCCTGGCACTGAGTCCCTGGACTAGGGGAGTCCAGTGTGGGGATGGTATCTCTTGCTCCTCGGGGAACCTCCGCAGTCAAAATACCCCTCCCAATTTTTAATTGCCACACATGGGTGTGGGACCAGCCTGTTCTGTGTCTCCACCCCTCCTACCATTCTTGATGTTGTTTCTTCTGCATGTCCTTAGTTGTAGGATTTCTGATTAGCTAATCTTCAGGCTTGTCTCCGTTTTGGTTGTTCTACAATTTAGTTGTAATTTTGAAATTGTCATGAGGGGAGATAAACAGTGTTTACCTACTTTACCAACTTGACTGGAAGTGCGCTTAATTTTGTGTCATGGAGCTCCTTAGCTAAAATAGAGTGGGGAAAACACTGTTTTTGTTCTTTCTGGGACTCCAGATGGTAGATAGGCCTTGATCAATCATCTTAACTTCCTTTATCTCTTCTCATCCATTTTTATATACTGTATTGTTATACTTCTTTTCTACTCTGTGGGAGATTTCTTCAAGTTTATATCATTCTAAAATTTATATTTAACTTAATCATTTTTTATTTAAATAAAAAAAAATTGCTCTTTTTGTTTGTTTGTTTCATGTTAAAGGGTATTTTGTTTTTTAACTTGTCTGACGGTTCTTAGGTGTCCAATCATATTTAAGAATGAGACACTAAAAAGTTGATTAGAAAGTTAGTGTGGTTTGGTGGGGCTCGTCCGGTGTGTCTTGGCTGTTTCTGCAGAGGACCTGCAAATATCACTACCTATATGTGTATCTTTCCTTTGAGGCTGGCTTGTTTTCCCAGGGACGTGTCCTCCAGCCTTTTTCTTAGAGGGCAGATGGGGAAAACCAAACTGACTTCCAGTGTTCTGGAAATTAACCAGGGAAAAGGGGTTTCATTAGATGGTGGATACTGTTGCACGTACACACACACACACACTTTCCATCAGGACTGAAGGACCTATGGCGGCAAGAATGCTGCTCTCTGACACCCTTTACCTGTGAGCTGTCTTCAGGAATAGCCTGGCAGAATAGAACCACCTTAGATAATGTTATAGCTCCTTTCCACAACGGCCATAGGTCCAGTACTCGGTCAACAAGGAGGTGTCAAGTCCCAGCCAACATGATGGCTCCGGTTCTAGACAAGTCTGAAGGGCCGTCCCAGTTTTAGATCTGTGAGACTAGCCAAGGAGTTCTTTAAAATAAATGACAGCTCAACTTCTCCCTGTGTGAATTTCTGCTTCCTTTCTTACTTCCTTGCCTTCCACAGGTGTTGATTCCACAGAACTTGCTAAAATAACTTCCTATGTGCTTATTTCTCTCATAGTCAGCTTCCTAAAGATGTTATACTTATAGCTTGCTTCCTAGTGACACATTGTAGAGTAGTTACACTTTCATTAATCCTCTGTTTTCAGTGTGGCACCTCTCCTCTCCTCCTCACACCCCACCAACCACCTAGCGAGCTGTGCCTGGTACACCCAAGGCTAGAGCAGCCCTTCATCCCTGTTGACTTCTCCAAAATACAAACTAGAGCTCTTATGCTGAGGTGGAAGATGAGTAATCGCATGACTGTCTAACTGCTAATTGTACAGAATTTTCAACTGAAAGTGTTAAATTTTACCCTATGCTTATAGCATTAAAATGTATCTGGACTCCATAATTACTGAGTGTTTTCAGACTTCCAGAGTTCAAATCAACTTGTTTCTTGTTAATGTCTCACACTGGCGCTGCTTAGGGTGCAGTTAATTTCTGTCTATCAAATCAGTTAACACTTATCCATGCAGTTTTCAGTTTTTAATATTTTGTTAACTCATATGTGTTATCAGATTCTCTGTTTCTCTCCTCATCCATCTTTCCAGGTCTGTGCCCTTTTTTGTGCTTTACTGTTCTTTTTTTTTTTTTTTAATCCTCACCCAAGGACATTTTTTCCATTTTTTTGTTCAGGTAGAGTGGGAGGGAGAGAGAGGAAGAGAGAGAGAGAGAGAGAGAGAGAAACATCGATGTGAAAGGGACACATCAAGTGGCTGCCACCCGCACGACCAACCAGGGCTGGGGACAAACTGCAACCGAGGTACATGCCCTTAGCGGGAACCGAACCCGGGTCTCTCGGGACCGCAGGCCGATGCTCTAACCACTAAGCCAAACCGGCCAGGACTGCTTTACTGTTCTTTTAGAGGGTTGGGAAAGGAATAAAAACAAGCATGTGTGTTCAATTCACACTATAAAGGAAGCAATGGAGTTTTGAGGGATATCAGACAAAACTTTTAATTTGTTCTATTGTGGAGTGCTCCAGCTTTGTTGTAAAAATTGGAAAATCAACCTCTAGATATTATTTTTTTGTCCATTTATCAATGTTTATTATTATGATCTAAGAGGGATAGTCTGTAATTTCAGTTTATGTGTAAATGACATAGATTATAGTTTATAAAGTGAATCACTTCTCCCTCAGATATTTGGAGGTTTTTGAGGGCCTATAAATGCTTACAAATATTTTAGTCTCTATCTCTTATTAATACTATATTTATAATAATCAGTCCTCAATATAATTTGTGTATCCCCTTAGGATCCAAAAATATTTCATAGGAAGTTAGCTGTGTATATTTTTACAAGCAATATTTTTATTTGTTCGTTTGTTTGACTAGAGCTCCAGAACTATTTAGTTATATAGCCAAAAATAGCCAAGAGGATGTGTTCTATGAAGATGACATTTGGCCTGGAGAAAATGAGAATGGGTAAGCAAAATCTGTGGCATGTATTGCCTCATAGTTCAACTTAGTGGTTCCAGTGAAAGGTATTTTATCAAGAATTTACATTACTTTTGGGGAGAGCATTTTGTATTGTTTGGTTTTGGTTTTAAGATATTAATAGTTTTTTATTTAATTTATATCAAAGTACTGTAAACTAATTTTGTGATTTTTAGAAAATTACTGAGAATTAACATGTTCATGTTTATATTAGATTTAGAATTAGTCCCAGTTAAGTGGCATGATTAATTGTTATTAATTTTATATATACATATACATATATATATATATATATATACATATATATATATATATTTATCCTCACCTGAGGACATTTTTCCATTTTTTGTTCAGATAGGGTGGGAGGGAAAGAGAGGAAGAGAGAGAGAGAAACATCAACGTGAAAGGGACACATCGAGTGGCTGCCTCCCCACATGACCCAACCAGGGCCAGGGCCAAACTGCAACCAACGTATGTGCCCTTAGCGGGAACCGAACCCGGGTCTCTCTGGACCGCAGGCCGATGCTCTGACCGCTGAGCCAAACCGGCCAGAGCTAATTATATATTTGATGTCTTTTATACTTCACAGTCCTCAGGTTTATATCAGGCCTTTTATATAAGCCCTCACAAAATGTAATCAATATGAAATAATTATTGTTTTTAATGTAGTGCCGAGAAAGTTCAAGAAATTATTACTTGGCTAAAGGGACATCCTGTCAGTACTTTGTCTCGTTCTTCATGTGATTTACAAATTCTGGATGCAGCTATTGTTGAAAAAATTGAGGAGGAAGTCGAAAAGTACAAGGTACTAATTTTCAATAACCAAGACATGGATGAGATTTGAAGTTAAATAAACTATGTATTATTCCACCAATAACTTATTTACATTTCAACCAAATAAAATATAAACTCAGTTGTTTGTAATTTATGTAAAATAATCCTATCATTTAAAGAAATGTTCCAGCTATTTCCATTGGGCCTTAATAAGTTTATATGAATAAATACAAATGAACTTTAATGTATAAAGCCTTAGCATTTAAATTTTATGTCCCTTGTCATGGGGGGGAAAGGAGAAACATCTGTAACAAAAATTAATTAAATAAAATATTTTTAAAAAGATAAATGTTATATCCTTGTAGTATTTATCATTTTAGGAATTAATATTTTGTGATTTTAAAGTGGAAAGTTTGATTGAGAGATAAAATTAATTCCTATTCCTTCCTATTCTAAGTTCTTTAAAGACACAGTTCATCTTTTTATAGAATATAAAAATGTTTTTAACTTTTACAGAATTACTTCTAAGTGTATTTTCCCACACACAAACTCATTCAGTTCCTGAGTATTTTGTGTAGGCTTAACTATTTCAACTATTTTGATCCCTTATCTTGATGTCATAGAAAATGAATTAATTATATATATATATTTTTTTTACTTCTGATTTTATTTTCCACACAATTTGTCTTCTTATGAAAAATTATATTACTTTGCCAACACAGTGATTTGTTAGCAGAGATAGTTAAGAACTGGGCTTTGAATCCATCTTTCCCGTTCTTCTTTCTATACTTATAATCTTAGGCAAGATACTTAACCTTTCCATGGCTTTGTTTCCTCTCTGGTAAAATGAGAATGAAATAGTACCTACCTCATAGGGTCCATCAAAAGGATTAACTTAGTGGATGCATGTAAATTTCTAATAATGCCTACCTATTATTAATGCCTAATGATGCTTGGGTATTAGTATTATCATTATTATTACTATTTGAATTCTCTTATCACATACTCAGTAGCTGTGAATACTTTCTGGGAAGTCACCACCAGATGACTGTGTCTTTAGGAAAAGGTACAAGGCTCAGAGCCAAGAGATTGATTTTTTATTTTTTATTAATTTATTTTTGTTATGGATATTTCTTCTTTTTCCCCCATTGACACCCTCCTTCTGATCTCAGCATTGCTGTCTATGTCCATGGTTATGCATACATACATAGAAGTTCTGTGGTTTTTTTAAACGGTCATTGATATTTAGCTGAGGATAGTAAACCTGTATTTCTTTCTCTTTTTGGCGGTTTTTTGGTTTTGTTTTTTCCTTTTTAATTGTCTTTCAGTGTAAAGTAAAATCTATTTGTGTAGCATTGTTTTTGAAATGAGTTCTCTACTTAACAGAATTTTATAACTTTAAGCCCCAACTTTAACTCATTTGCATGCAGAACTTTCTGAAATGTTGTACACATTTTTCCCTTGTTTTATAAACAGAATGTAGATACATTTACAAAGTTGTAGTCTAATGTATTGGTTATAACATTTTTTTTTTAATACGTGTGCTTATAAATAAGAGGAATTTTTTAAAAACCTATTAATGTGTCAAGGAGATACAGTTATGAGTGGGATTTTTCCCTCCTTTTAGGGTTATAAAGAAAAGGACAAAAAAACTAAAAAACAACATTCTGAACGTAATTTACATTTTTCTTTATAATGCGGAATTATCATTAAAAGTATCAGTAGTTTTCTTTTTTTTTTTAAGTGTTTTTTTTTTTTTTTAATCCTCACCCGAGGACATTTTTCGATATTTTGTTCAGATAGAATGGGAGGGAGAGAGAGAGAGAGAGAGAGAGAAACATTGATGTGAAAGGGACACATTGAGTGGTTGCCACCCACACGACCCAACCAGGGCCGGTGACAAACTGCAACTGAGGTACATGTCCTTAGTGGGAACCAAACCCAGGTCTCTCTGGACCACAGGCTGACGCTCCAACTAACCGCTGAGCCAAACCGGCCAGGGCAAGTAGTTTTCTTATTGGACAGTGATTCCCAAACTCAGCAGTTATCAAAATTACTGGAGGAGCTTTTTGAAAATCACACATTCTGGATTCCACCCCTAGAGCAGTACTTCTCAAATTAATGTGCAGATACTCACTGGAAAATCTTGTTAAAATACAGATTTCTGATTCAGTAGCTCTAGGCTTAGGCTTGAGATTCTGCCTTTTTAACAAGCTTGCAGGTGATCACATTTTGAGTAGTCAGGCCCCAGGACTTCTCATTTAGTAGTTGTGGGTTGGGCTTATTGTGAAAATTTCCCAGTTTATTAATTTGCCTAATGTGTCAGGTTTAATTGCCATGTCCTCTAATCAATGCTATAATGTAATGCCTAGGGATATGTTAGATCATATGAACTTTTTAAAAATGTTTTTATTGATTTTTTTTTTTGAGAAAGATAGAAACATTGATGTGAGAAATATCAATTGGCTGCCTCCTTCACGCCCCCTGCTGGGGATCAAGCCCACAACCTGGGCATATGCACTGACCAGGAATCAAACCAGGACCTCTCAGTCCACAAGACAACACTCAATCCACTGAACCACACTGGCTGTGTGGATTTCTTTTTTTAATGCAGTTTTACAGGCACAGTTCTTGGGTCTTTTTTTTTTCCTTTTTTAAAAAAATATTTTTTAAGAATTTGTTTTAGAGAGGAGGAAGAAGGGGGGGTGGGGAGAGAGAAAGAGAAACAGAAATATTGATGTGAGAGAGAAACATCAGTTGGTTGCCTTCCTGTACACACCCTAACTGGAGAGCAAACGCAAAACCTGGGTATGTTCCCTGACCAGGAATTAAACCTGCCGCCTTTTGGTGTATGGGACAACGCTCCAACCAACTGAGCCACATTGGCCAGGGCTAAAATAGTTTTAAATGTCTTTATTCTTTCTCTGTTTTGCTGATCTCCCTTAACGTGCTTTATTTTTCACTATGCTTTTTAGCTTTTAACATGCTATATATTTTTCTTATTTTGTTTCTTTTATGCCTCCCTCAACTAGAATAAAAGAATAGATCTCTGTTATATCCTCAGCACCAAAATCAATAGAGTACATAAATGGAATTCAGTAGAGATTTGTTGAAAGAATAAATGAGATGTCTATAATAAGATAGGCTCTATTTAAAAGCTTGAGTGTTTTGCCCGGCCAGTGTTGCTCAGTCGTTGAGCATCGACCCATGCACCAAGAGGTCGCCGATTTGATTCCCAGTCAGGACACATGCCCAGGTTGTGGGCCAATCCCCAGTGGGGGGCATGCAGGAGGCAGCCAGTCGATGTTCTCTCTCATTGATGTTTCTGTCTCTCTCTCCCTTCTTCTCTCTCTAAAGTCAATAAAGAAAATAAAATAAATAAATAAAGGCTTGAGTGTTTTACAGTATAAAAATGTGACCTCTCTAGTATATGATCTCTGTGGCCAGGGCTGTTTTATGTCCTTTGCACTTATTTCTGTAAGCTTTATTCTAAAGATAGGTGCTCTTATTTTTCTTATTAAGAATTCACTTCAAAAAAATTTAATGTGAATGGTAGTTATATATTGCAATGGGTATAAATTATTCTCACATTTTTATTATGAAGAGCAGGTAATGTTTGCATCTTATACAATGGAAAGGAAGCCGAGGCTCAAGTTCAGTGTGAATTGACAGAACAAACAAGTAGTAAAGACTGTACAAAAGTCTTCTTCCAGCCCTGGGCAGTGGCTCAGTTGATTGGGTGTCCTCCCTTTCACCAAAAGTTGACAGGTTTGATTCCCAGGGAGGGCACATACCCACACTGCAGGTTCGATCCTGGTTGGGATGCCTGCAGGAGGCAACCAATCAATATTTCTCATCTCTTCCGCCCCCCTCCTTCCAATCCCTCTCTCCAAAATCAATTTAAAAATATATAGATATAGGTAGGTAGGTAGACAGACAAACATACAGATAGATTCTGTCTTCTTCCAGCATTTTTCACATGATCAAAAAATTCAAAACATCAAAGCCAGTTTCATAATAGATTTCAAAAACCGGAATTTATTAAATCAGTGCCACCTTTTTATAAGTAGCCACAAAAAATCACAGTATTTTCATGGGTCAATACTTTATACCTTTTTTTTAAAAAAAGTCTTTGTTGACCATTGTATGCAATTCTTTTTAGAGTAAAAGCATTTCAATAGGCTAGCATTTACCTAAAGTTCAAAACAGACAAATCTAATCTTTTGTACTAAAAGTAAGGTTACTTTTGGGAAAGGTAGTAACTGGGGTGGAAACAGAAGGGAATACAGGGGTTTTTATATTGTACCTAGTAATGTTTTGTCTCTCTTGCTCTAGGTGTGGTTATAATAGGTGTGCTCATACTATACAAATTCATCAGGTGGTACACTTACAATTTTCCATATGTCTTATACAAACATTTTAGTGTAAGAATTTATTATTCCTCCTTGCTGCATCTGAAGAACTTCAGATATAAATATTTAAAATTTTTTATTTCCTCAGCAAAGAAAGAATAATAAGAAGGTACGAGTGACGGTAAAGCCCCATTTGCTGTACAGGGTAAGTTTCCTGTGAAAGATTCAAGTTGTTACTACTGTGAAAGTAAAACAGAAACAGAATGTTTTCAGTATATTGTTAGGAAACTTTAAAATTAGAGCTAATAATAATAATTAAAGCTTTCTTCTCTCCAGCCTTTAGAACAGCAACATGGAGTCATCCCTGATCGGGATGCAGAGTTTCATCTCTTTGACCGGGTTGTGAATGTGAGAGAGAACTTCTCGGTGCCCGTTGGCCTTCGGGGCACCATCATAGGAATTAAAGGAGGTAACATGTCAGTACTTCATGTGTCGTCAACAGCATTGTAGTGTAGAAAAAAACACAAATTTCTGTGTCATATCTAAGCAGAGAACGACTATAAGTTAGGAAAATAACTAAATCCTTTTATGTTTCAGTTAATTTTTTTTTTTTTTTAGTTTTCAGAAAAAGTTATTTTCTGTCTTATGTTGTTATCTAGAAAGTGATTAAAAGAAGGGGAAGTTGAGTAATGACTGCTGAAAATTTGGTACCTTACTTATAACACATTAAAATTGTACATGACCTTGATGGGGATGCACACATTTTCATGAAACTGAGAGAAAAGTTTCATTATTTCTCCTTAAGTTAGGCTTTCATCTAATTTTGATCAGAAGTTTACCTTAATTGTCATTTGTAATCTCTTGATTTCTGTGAAGAAATAAACATGAAGTATGAACTTATTTACAGTTAAAAGATTTTAATTAAATGGTCATATATTCATTTGATTTTTTTTTATCCAAGTTTTTTTTTAATTGTTGAAAGCATTACAAATGTCCCCTTTTTTCCCCCATTGACCCCCTCCTTCCTGCTCCCACTCCCCTCCTGCCTTCCCCAGCCTAATGTCTGTGTGGATTGGTTGTGCACATTCATTTGAATTTTATAAGTACTGCTAGATTATATATATGAAACAAACCTATCTGTTGCGCAACAATGTGCATATAGTTATCACTTCCATACTATATACTTAAAAATTGTTAAGATGGTCCTAGCCAGTTTAGCTCACCGGTTAGAGCATGGGCCTGTGGACCAATGAGTCGTGGGTTCCATTCTGGTCAAAGGCATGTACCTCATTTGCGGTTCTTTCCCCAGCCCTGGTCAGGATCGAATGGGAGGCAACCAGTCGATGTGTTCCTCTCAGGTGGATGTTTCTGTCTCTCTCTCCCTCCCACTCTATCTGAAGATAAAAAAAATATCCTCCGGTGAGGATTAAAAAAAATGGTTAAGATGGTAAATTTTATCTTGTTTTTTTGTGGTTTCTTTTTTTTTTTTAAATCTTCATCCAAGGATATCTTTTTTTTCATTTATCTTTAGATAGAGTGTGGGGTGGGAGGAGAGAGAGAGAGAGAGAGAAACATCGACATGAGAGAGACACATCAACTGGTTGCCTCCCGCACTACCCCAGCCAGGGATGAACCGCAACTGACGTACATGGAATTGAACCCTTGACTCATTGGTCCGTGGGCCAGCGCTCTAACCGCTGAGCCAAACCGGCCAGGGCTATCTTGTTTTTAAAAAAATTTGTTTTTTAAATGAGAGAGTGGAGAGCAAAAGGAAGCAGTCAAGGATCTCAGTGTGCCTGAAAGGGATGCCTGGAGGGAGCAGCTTTGCAGCAGAGGTTTCAGAAAGAGTCAGCCCAGATAAAGCTGCACATCAGGTGCCAGGGGTCACAGTGCTGGCAGCACTGCCCCTCCAAGTCTCAGACACTCAACCTTGGCCTCACTGTCCAGAAATAGGAAGAGCACGCTGGTCATGAGCCTAAGAGAGCTGCTTATTTAGTGCCAACACTGTGTGCATTTTGCATTTAACCCTCAGGTGTTATATCCTCACCTGAGAAGTTAAGTAACTCACCCGCTTTTACAAGGATGGGTGGCAGAGCTGGGATTTGAACTATTTCACCTTATTCTTACTTAGCTTTGAGAAGTGGGTCTCCACAGTTTTCATCTTCACATCTTTTTGGGGTCTTCCCTGCTTGCTTGACTGTAAAAGAGAATTCTCTGAATTTTAAAAAATAATCTCTTGGATATATTTCTGGCTGCTACAAATGTAGAGAGAAGGGTCTGGGCTAGGTATGGTAAGGGACCAGTGGATATGATGAGCAACCCTCCTGCTGCTATCTGCTCAAGCCCTTGCATCAGCTTTGCAGACATTGAGCTTATTGTATTGTCCTCTAGTTAGGTTGTCCTGATAAAGGCCTTAGGAATCTGATAACATGGAAGTTTACTTCCTTCTGACAACTCCTATCATTAATCGTGACTGCTTGGAATTTTGTCTTGAAGGGTTTTTGTTTTGTTTTGTTTTTATTAATTTTTTAGGGAGAGAGAAAGAGAAACATTGATGTGAGAAACATCCATCAACTGCTTCCTGTACACCCCCTACTGGGGATCAAGCCTGTAACTCGGGTATGAGCACTGGCGGGGAATCAAACTGAGACCTCTCAATTCACTGAGCCACACTGGCCAGTCTCTTGAAGGGTTTTAAAGCTACATCTATCCTGAGTGGAAAAGAGCTCTGTGATTGATTAGCCACGTCTGCCATGGACATGGAATAGAAAGGCGAATATTTGTTATTACTGCCCTCATCTGAGACCTTGTCTCCATAGTCATGTCCACTAAAAGGGTGACTAAGGTAATTTTGAAGAAGTGGCCACTCCCTCAGATGGGAAATAGGAACCTAGAAGGTGAACTTCCTGGAGTGTAGACTTTAGGTAAAAGTGTCAGGTTAAAAGGTACAACAGGATGAGTTCTGCAGGCCTGGTTTCAACTAGGCAATGAGGGACTGGAGCTGGGGGAGATATCCTCCCACCCATTCCAGGAACTAACATAGAATTAGAAATTATGGTAGCCAGAGCCCTGGCCAGTTTGCCTCAGCGATTAGAGCGTCGGCCTGCAGATCAGAGAGACCCGGGTTTGGTTCCCGCTAAGGGCGTGTACCTCAGTTACAGTTTGTCCCCAGCCCTGGTTGGTCGTGCAGGTGGCAGCCACTTGATGTGTCCCTTTCATATCGATGTTTCGCTCTCTCTCTCTTCCTCTCTCTCCCTCCCACTCTATATGAACAAAAAATGGAAAAATGTCCTCGGGTGAGGATAAAAAAAACAAAACGAAGTTATGGTAGTCAGAGAAATAGAACCAGTATAATGGAATGGTGGTGGTGAGGAGTGGGGGAGAGAGAGAGAGAGAAAGAGGTCAGGGGAGTCAGTTCTGAAGTTATGTGCTAGATTCATTAATTTGGGTTTAGAAATCAAACGTTAGTATAGTTATTATTACACTTTACCTTGGCATTATGGTTAAATTTAATCTTTCCAGATATGTCTCGTCCTGCTCTCTGCCAAATGTATTCTCTGATCCTAAGTTTATTGCACCAGTGTCTTTGTCATGAGTCTCATATCTCAATTATGGCATCCATAATCTTTCAGTCAGAACCTTGGAGTCATCTTTGGCATTTCTGTCCTTTTTATCTACATAGGTCACAAACTCCTGCCAATTCTATATAATATATTCATTCTTTTCATTCTACTCCCCTGACTGATGCCATGTTTTCAAATTTTCATTGTCCTTTTTCTGTCTTTTTGGAAGACCTTTTGGACTGCAGACTCTCAAGTTCTCTTTTATTAACTTATGAATAATTTCAGACGTATATAAAAGCAGAGAGAAAAGTATATTCCCCACAGCATTTGATTTAAAATATTATTTTACTTTATATTAATGCAAGTAAGGTAATCTGTGAGCTTATTTACTTTTCATTTACTGTCTGTATTCCCCCACACCATTTTTTTTTGGTAGTTCTAATGCATCTTAAATTTCAAAAACTTCAAAAACTCACATGCTGATTTTTCATCATATGATTTTTTTCTCTTTTTTATTAAACAGCTAATAGAGAAGCTGATGTCCTATTTGAAGTATTATTTGATGAAGAATTTCCTGGAGGCTTAACAATAAGGTTTGTATTTCCAGATTATAATTATACTTTATGAATATATCCACGTGGCCAGTGATTTTTCATTACTTGTTTGTTTATGGTTTGAGTTCCTATTACGTGTAAGTCATCATACTTGCTACTAGGGATGTTAACAGTGAATAAGACAGACATCTTTTCTACCTTCAGGGAGCTTTAATTTTAGTGTGGAAAATAATTAACTGATTACAGTATTATTTGATTAAATTGTGACCAGTGCTGGGAAGGAGAAATTCAGGTTTCTATAATAGTATGACCTGTCCTGATAGTTCCAGAAAGGTGGGATTTGAAGAATGAATAGTTAACTAGGGAAAGGGAGGAAAAGTGACAGGTAGGAAGAAGGAATAGCATATGCAACAACATTTTTACCCGTTCAAAAACTAAACGAATGCCAGTGTTCCTGAACCTCAGTGACTGTAAGATTAGAATAAAAGCAAAGCAAAGACCACACTGTGCAGGAACTTTTAAGTAAACTTTGAGGACATGTTAAGGGTCTTAGTCTTCATCATTAAAGCAATGCGAAGCCATCAAAATCAGGAATGTAGTCTGGCTGGTGTGGCTCAGTGGTTGAACGTTGACCCATGTACCAAGAGGTTGCTGGTTTGATTCCCAGTCAGGACACATGCCCAGGTTGTGGGTCCGATCTCCAGTAGGGGCATGCAGGAGGCGGCCAGTGTTCTCACTCATTGATGTTTCTATCTCTCTCTTCCTCTCACTTCCTCTCTCTCTAAATTCAATAAAGGAAAAAAAAATTAAAAAATATGTCAGAGATGTAGCATGATCAGTTTTGCATTTTTAAATGTTTAAGTAACTTGAGAAATACAGACGTTTTTGAATTTAGTAACATATTAAGCCTTTGTCATCTGTTTTAATGTAATAGTAAGTGCCCACGCTAGATTGGGATGGTTTGAGGTGTGAATGGCAGGTATACTAGAGTCAGGAAATTAAGCTGACTATGTGAAGGGGAGAAAAGATAGCCAGAGATTACTGAGTTTAGTGGAAGAAAATTGGATTGTTATTTTTTGTTTTTGTTTTTTTTTTTTTAATTTATTGAGGGTAACATTGGTTAATAATATTGTATAAGTTTCAGATGTACAATTTAATAAACAACATCTGTGTACTCCATTGTGTGGTCACCCCCCAAGATCTGGTCTCCTTTTGTTACCATATATTTGACCCCTTTTACTTTCTTCATCCTCCCTCTACGCCCCACTTCCTAACTGGTAACTACATTCTGTTGTCTGTATCTATGAGTGTGTTCTGTTTGTTCTTTTTTAAAAAATATGTTTTCATTGATTTTTTTTTTTTAGAGAGGGGGAAGGAGAGAAAGAGAGAAACATCAGTTCGCTGCCTCCTGCATGCCCCCAACTGACCAGGAATCGAACTGAGACCTCTTAGTCCATGGGACAATGCTCAATCCGTTGAGCCACACTGGCCAGGCTGTTTTTTGTTTTTGTTTTTTTTTTTTCAATTTATTGCAGTTACATTGGTTAATTATATAGGTTTCAAGTGCAATTCTATAACACATCCTCTGTATATTGTATTATGTGTTCACCCAAAGCCTTGTCTCCTTCCATTACCATTTATCCCCCCTTTACTGTCTTCTACCTGTTCCTACCCCCCTTCTTCTAGTAATCAGCATACTGATGTCTGTATCTTTGTTGTTTGTTCTTTTGTTACTTTTTTTATATCCACATATGAAAAAAATCATATGATTCTTGTGCTTTTCCATCAGACTTATTTCACTTAGCGTGATACTCTCAGTATCCATGTTGTCACAAATGGCAATATTTTTTCTTTTTTATGGCTGAGTAATGGAGCCATCTTCTTTAGGTACCACATCTTCCTTATCCAGTCATTGTCGAAGGACACTTAGGTTGTTTCCTTGTCATGGCTATTTTGACATGGGATTTTCTGACCCACACTGGACAAACCTCAGTCTTTTTAAGAGGTTTTACATTTAATTCATAAACTTTAGTCATTCTCAACTTATGTTGTAGGCCTCTGAGGGCAGACTAACGCACACATACATACCTCTACACATACAACTATATCTCTAGAACAGTTTTTTTCCCTATTTAGTAGCACTGAATAATCTATTTAGGTAATCTTCAGGAATGCATCATCTTATAAACTGAGATTTTTCTATGATTTCAAGTTTCTGTACTGAATTTAAAAGTAGTATTTATTGCCTGGCTGGTGTGGCTCAGTGGATTAAGCATCATCCCGTGGACTGAGAGGTCCCAGTTCGATTCCCAGTCAGGGTGCATGCCTGGGTTGAGGGTTTGATCCCCAGTAGGGGCTTTGCAGGAGACAGCCGATTGATGTTTCTCTCTCTCATCAATATTTTTCTCTCTCTCTAAAAAATTTTTAAAAAAACAACATTTTTTCAAAAGTAATATTTATTGATTCAAATTATGGACTGTCCACCCAAAAATTATTTGCTTCTTCCTAGCACATTCAGTATTATTTTACTCTGATTCTGTTAATCTATTAAATTACTCTGTAATTTTTTACTTTTAGGTGCTCACCTGGTAGGGGTTATCGATTGCCAACAAGTGCCTTGGTTAACCTTTCTCATGGGAGTCGCTCTGAAACTGGAAATCAGAAGTTGACAGCCATTGTGAAACCACAACCAGTTGTGAATCACTATAACTCGAATTCATCAGTTTCAGCTGGACATGTGGGAGGCCTGAACCATTCCCCTCAATCTCTTTTTGTTCCTACACAAGTAAAGATTATTCATCTTTAATTTCTCTCTATCCCCTTTACAAATCACAGACACACTATAAATAGAAACCTAATTTGACTTAGTGTTTTTAAAAAGTTTTTATGTCAATTCCAGATTTTTTTTAAACTAAAAGGCTAGTAGAGAAGGTTATTGACAGCATTCTACACCTATGTTATAAAATTACAGTTATTAAAGAAGAAAGACATTTATTTTAAAAATCAAACTAACATTTAAATTTTTTTTTCTTATATAACCCAAATTTCCTATGATATATGCTATAAAATGACATAAATTTAAAAGGTGAAGGGAGAAAACTATATCTTATTTATCAAAAGCAATTTTCAAGTTTCTACCATCCTGGGGACAAAAATTGAATTGTTTTGTGTGAGACACTTACCTTTATTTAATTCCATGACCACAAATCTACCACACTTTTTAATCTAAATAATACATGTTTATTATACACTAGTTAGAAAATGCAGATAAGTAGATTATAACAAAGGAAACAGAAGCAAAAATCCCCTCAAATCTCATAGGTAACTACTGTTAAATTTTTGGTACATATTTTTGCAGAATTTTAATCTACATGAAGTCAGCTTTCCATAAATAATAGCTGATTTTTAATCTATTAAATTACTTTAGTGTAAGAGGAAGATTCTTTTAAATAAAATCATTAGGTATTAAATGAGATACTATATCAGTACATTGGAAAACAAAATGAATCTGTTGGTGGGTATATATTGCCTTAGTATAATCTTTTATAGCATTTATTATGCGTTAAGTACTATTAAATGAAACTAATTACATACATATGAAGAAAGCCATTTTTATTCCAATAGACTATCTTTATGCTCCAGAAAAAAGAATTGAGATTTCAGATAATGAAAGTTAAATATCCTCTCATGCTAAATAATTTTAATGAATAAATTGTTTGATTTTTAATATGAATCTTTATTTTTTATATGTCAGTTCCTTAAGAAATTTTTGTGCCTTGCCAGGTACCTGCTAAAGATGATGATGAATTTTGCAACATTTGGCAGTCCTTACAGGGGTCTGGAAAGGTTCAGCACTTTCAGTCAACTCCACTAGAGAAGGTGAGTCTACCTTGTCTGATGGACATTTAACTTGAAAAAAATTCAATTTTATATTTCTTTTTCAGGTATACAATGATTAATTTTCTTCTGAAATCTCATAAAATAGAAATAATAGTTTTGATCATGAATTTGCATAATTCCATTCAGCTGTAAATAAAAATGGTTTGGATCAATGAATGAGAATATAGATAATTTTTTATTTTAAATTAGTTTTGGATTTTTTTTACTTGTTTACAAAATTATAACAACTGTATTTTACATTGAACTAAAGCCTTAATGGCACTCATTAGCTTATTTATTTCCAGTTGAGTTACAGCTTTATGCTGGCAGTTGGTTGTCTTAAAGATGAATGTGCAAATCATATTCCTTGATAGAGATTAAGAAGAGGAAAGAAATTCTGCTAAAAGAGTAGACTCAGACAAAAAAAGAAGAAGAAAAAGAATGAATTTCTGTAATTTTATTGCAAGTCACTGGCCTATCTTCTCAGCTTAGGTCAAAAAAGAATGTTCTCTAAGGTTTATAAACCAGTAGCCTGCAATGTGAGGGTCTCCAGTGACGGTGGCATTATCAGAACTAGAGAAGGGAAAATAGCAAAGGGAATGGAAGTAAAATAAACATAAAAAGTGAGAGTGACAAAATATACAGGTCTGTTCAGCCAGTATTTATAAGTTTTCCTTACATCATCCATAAATATACCTAAATATAACACATGTCAAGATTTTCAAACCCTCTTTTCCTCTTTAATTTATTTGATATTGCTAACCATTCATTCCACACATATTTATTGAATGCCTACCATATGGACTTAGACCAGGTAGTAGGAGTCTGTAAGAAATGGTCAAATTCTAGACTTTTTTTTTTATTAGGGTGACAATTGGTTAATAAAGTTATAAAGGTTTCAGATATATGATTCTACAACACATCATAGACATATTTGGAGGGATTGTCAGCAGATGATGCATTAGGTTTGAGGTTAAGAGAGAAGGAATGGGTTAAAAGGCTATGGCTCTTAAGGTCTGAATAACTAAAAGGAGAGAATGGCCATTAACTTCACATGGGGAGGATTGCAGGTCAGTAGATGTGAGTGAAGATTAAGGGTTACATTTTGGACATGGTGAGTTTGAGATGTATATTAAACATTTAAGTGCAGATGTAGAGCTGGCCATTGAGTCTGAAGCTCATGGAGGATATCCAAACTAGAGAGAGAGTTTAAGAGTCGTCATCTATATATATGCATGTGTATGTGTTTATCTGTGTAATTATATCTATGTATCTATATCAAAGAAGTAGATATAGATAGAGAAGAGGTGCAATACCTTAGCCTTAGAGAATTCCATCCTTAAAGAGCTAGAGAGATTAAATAAAACTGACAAGTCTGAGAAGGTGATGTCTAGATGCCAAGTGAAATTGGATGTCATGCAGGACCAAATGATCAGCTGTGTCCAATTTTGCTCTTGGATCAATTAAGATGAAAATTGGGAATTGACCATAGAGTTTAGCATATGAAGGTCACTGGGAGTCTTGAGCAATTTCAGTAGAGTGATAGAAGGTAAAATACTGATTAGAGAGGGTTCAGGAGAAAAGGGAAGGAGAGAAATTGGAAGCAATAAATATAGAAAACTCTTGCAAGGAGTTTTGCTCTAAAGGAAACATTACCCTGAGTTCCCTCTTGCCTTTCCTATTAACTTCTTTATTAACCTCTGTTCTTCCAGACTTTCACTGGGACTGTTCCCCAAAGCTCAAGAACAGTTTTCTTCTCCCTTTGCCCTATTGCTTGACTTGTGACTGGCTTTTGCCTCTCTTTTAATTACCACTCAATCTATATCTAACCCAGATCTATATCTAGATCTCAATCAAGATCTAACCCAGCCCTGGCCTGTCTGTCTAAGCAGTTAGAGCATCAGCCCGCAGACCAAAGGATCATGGGTTTGATTCCCAGTGAAGGGCACACACCTGTGTTTTGCAGGTTTGATTCTGGCTTGGTTGGGGTCCTGCGGGAGGCAACCAATCGATGTGTCTCTTTCTCCCTCCCTCTGTCCCTTCCAATACCCTGGAGTAAGGATTAACAACAAAAAATTCTAACCCAGTATCTCCAGCTAGCTAGAACACAGGTATAGATGGATGCAACTGTCCCTCAGCCTCTAGGTATCTCAGAATTGACTTTAGCTATGGCCTGTTCTGTTATCCTTATTTCTAACACTACTGTTTTCCAGACATATAATCTAAAAAGCATGGAATTAAATTTTTTTATTATATTTATTTTTATTTTCTTAAATATGTTTTCAATGATTTTTTTATAAAGAAAGGAAGGGAGAGAGATAGAAACATCGATGTGAGAGAGAAACATCTATTAGCTGCTCCTGCATGCCCCCTACTGGGGATCAAGCCTGCAACCCAGGCATATGCCCTGACCAAGAAATCAATTGTAACCTCTCAGTCCATGAGATGACACTCAGTCCACTGAGCCACAACAGTTGGGCTGAAATTAAAATTTTTTACTCTTTCTCTCCTAATTTTTTTTTTCCCAGTGAGACTGCAAAATGGTTACTTCTCAGTTTCCACAACTAGAATTTAGGTTTTCATCCCAGGCCTAGATTAACCTCCTATTTGTATTTCCTATTTCTTATCTCTTTCTTTTCTAGTTTTTTTTACGTAGTACTGCCTGATTAATCTTTCCTAAAGATCCTCTCACCTGTTTTGGCCCTATGGCATAATTGGGCAAAGTTTCTAATTAATAAAAGCTTCTGGGTTTTAACTTAGTTTATGCCCTGATACAGTGTGCTGTTTTAAATCTGGTATTGAACTCAGAATCGGGAAATCAGGTTTTGTGACTCAAATTTAGCAAATCCTGATTTCCCTGAGCTTCTTTGGCCTCATGTATAAAATTAAGTTTGTGGACTTAGACCACCTTGGAGGTCTTATTTTAAAATAGTATAATTCAAATGCTTAGAATGTATAGGGCTCCCTGCTAGAGTTTAGGCTCAACTCAAATTAATATTTAATCCTTCTATAATCTAACCATATCTGATTCTTCTATAAAGCATGTCCAAGTATTTGGTAAAATGGTCTGTTCCAGTCAAATTGGTCCCTTACTTTCCCTTTCCCACAAAGATAATTTCATTTTCAGGTTATCTGTACTTCTTGTTCCTTCCACTTAGGATGCTATTCCTCTCTCACTACCAAAACTCTCCTAAGTCTTAGTCAGGGTATACTAGTCATGCTACTACCTATTTCCTTGCAGGATCTCAACACTTGATACTATATTTTCGGAAATATTCTGCATACATCTCCTGTTATTGGTTGCTTTTTATTATTTATATCAGTTGAATGTTCCAGTGTTTTATCTCATGTATGTTCCAAGAATTATGAGCCACCACATACACTATTTATATCCATGAGGCATTAAAAAGCAGCCTGATATTCACCAAGTGAACAAATTCTAGAGAACTCAACATGATTTTTTTAAAAATCAAGCTTATGCCCTGGCCGGTTTGGCTCAGCAGTTGGAGCGTTGGCCTGCAGTACAGAGAGACCCGGGTTCGGTTCCCGCTAAGGGCACGTACCTCGGTTGCAGTTTGTCCCCGGCCCTGGTTGGTCGTGCGGGTGGCAGCCACTCGATGTGTCCCTTCACATCGATGTTTCTCTCTCTCTCTTCCTCTCTCTCCCTCCCGCTCTATCTGAACAAAAAATGGAAAAATGTCCTCGGATGAGGATAAAAAAAAAATCAAGCTTATGGAAAAGGCAAAATTCTGGAGACAATAAAAAGAATGGGTTAAGGAGAGAAAGAGGGATGAATAGCTGGAGTACAGAAGATTTTTAGGGTACTGAAAAATGCCCTGTGTGATATTATTGGCATTGTAAGAAAAATGTTCAAACCTGTAAAGAATTTTTATGAGTTTATTTGAGCCAATGTTGACATTATGCCAGGAAGCAAGATCTCAGATGCTTCCCAGAATGACAGTTTGCAGTTTCTTTTCTCATCTGGAATTAAGGAGGAAACATAAAAGGAGGATTACATGAACATGAGAGAAAGCAAGGCTGAGAAATAGCAACGATTACATTACATGATAACAAGATTATGTGCTTTCCTGAGGGTGGTTACCCTTCAAGGAGTCTTAAAAAGAGGCATTTTAAAGGCTTGTTAACGTAGATGCACAAAAACAATGGACAGGGCTTGCTTAAGGCAAAGATAACCTTTTATTAGGGAAGTTATAGGTCTGAGGCATGACTTACCCAGATAGGAATTTATGATCAGATCACCCTTTGAGGTTACTATCATTTAGATTTGTTACAGAGCCCCTTTTTCATCCTGTAATTGTGGATATATGTCATTATACATTTGTTCTAACCCATAGAATGTACAACACCAAGAGTGAACCCATGTAATAAACTATGGACTTTGGGATATAATGATGTATCTGTCGATCAATGTAGGTTCATCGGTTGTAACAAATATACCCCTCCCATGAGGGATATTGATAATGATGAGGCTATGCCTGTGGGGCAGGGGGCAGTTTTGTTATGAACCTAAAACTATTATTTTTTTTTAAAGACTTTAAAAAATTCAAACCTTTATTGGCAAAATATGAACATATGAGACTAACAAACAGCTTTATGTAGATAGAACAACCCTAAAAACGATATTCAAAACTAGAGGGATGTAAAAATGGAGGCGGAGGGAATAGATGCTATGCAGACGATCTCCCAGGACCAAAACGGGAATTACAACTAAAATAGACAAATCCTTGGAAAAAAGCAACAGAAAAGCAGCAGTACAGGACCATAAAACCAGGGACATTGGTAGGATCTGCGGAGGTGTGAGAAGGTGGCAGACTGGGAACCCATGGATAGCAGCAGTCTTAGCTATGAGCAGTGCCCTTGGGGAATAAAGACCAAGCCCCACTCCACAGCGCAAAAAGCCGGAACAGAGCGCTAAAATAGCCACAGCCACTCCCTGGGGGCTCCGGCAGAGGGAGGGCAGACTGGGTTGGAACTCTGTG